ACTCGGAAAGACACCTCGCAGCGCGCGATACGTGACCGGAGCGGTACGCCTCGGCGCCGCGAGAGCAGCCGGTCGGCGTGGGCACCAAGCGCGGCCGCCGGGCGCCTTCGCACCGACCAAAGAAAGAAAAACGTTGGCGTCTTATGCGCGCCTTTGGCAGCGACAAAGCAAAGCAGCGGCTCACCGATCCCGCCCTCATCGCACCGTCGCCGACGCGTCTGCATGCAGCTGCTGCTGGTTCTTCCATCACTTGCAATCCTTGCAGGTGCCTTGACACTCCCGTCACCGGAGGAGGTATTGATCGATCTCGACCCTGGAGGGCTCGTGTGGACGGGTTTGGATGCGGATGATGACCTGGCGCTGCTGATGGCCATCGCCCTCAACCGGACGCGACCGGGCATCAGAATAGTGGGCGTGACTGTCTGTGGCGGCAACGCACCCATCAAGCACACGTCGCCTGGACTGGACCTGCTGCTGCGCACGGCCGGAGTCACCTCTGCCGATTTTCAGCACGGCATCGCTCGCGGGTATGGCTGGCGCGACATGCATGTCGCCTGGCCCAAGTTGCGCAAGATGAATCGGCTCTCTCCAGACTGGCCGTCCTCCGATGCCGCGGCCGACCTGATCATTCGGGCGGCGCACGCGAGCGGTCCCAATGGGCTGACCGTCCTCACGCTCGGTCCAGCGACCAATCTCGCGCGCGCCCTCGCCAAGGATCCCGGGATCGAGCCACGCCTCCGCCGCGTCATCCTGATGGGCGGCGAGCTGACCGGCGGCAAGATGTGCCTCAACTTCGCGTCCGATCGCGCGTCGGCGCGTGCGGTCCTCGCGAGCAGTGTGCCGACGATGCTCGTGCCCATCCAGACGTGCGCTCAGGTCGCCTTCACCTCCGACGACGTCGAAACGCTCGAGGCGCGGTGCTGCTCCGCGTTTGGCGACGGCGAGGACTCCGGCGAGGAGGCCAACGGCGAGGCCGCCGCGTGCGCGCTGCTGAAAAAGGCGCGGCTGCAGACGCGCGTGATGCCGTGGCTCGTCAACGCTCGCGTCGCGCCCAGGCTCCCTGACGGCTCGCGCTGGCGCAGGTCCTCGCGGCTGCAGCGCGGCTTCATCCCGTGGGATGTGATCGCACTGCTCGCCGCCTTCAAGCCGCGGCACTTTGGGGCGTGGGAGGCGCACAAGGTGGAGATGCCGCGCTGCGCCCACCTCGGCGAGCGCGAGCCGTGCGATGCGACGATGAGAGTCGAGCCGACGCCGGTCAAGGGCGTGGTGGTGGACCTGGAGGACGGGCTCGTGCGCGCTGACACGACGGCGGCAGAGGACGAGGAGGAGGCTGCGCAGTCTCACGCGAAGACGTTGCACTCGCGTGCGGCCTGGCGTGACGTCGCGCTGATCCCACACCTCGTGCGCTCCGAGCGCGAGCTGGTCGCCGACGCGATCTCGCTCCTCTGCGCGGTGCCCGCGGCTCGCGTGCGAGACGCCAAGGGCGGCCGGCGGCGCAGCGCTCGGCCCGCGCTGCTGCTCGGCTTCCTGAGAGAGGCCGCGGTGGCGGTGGCTTGCGTGCTAGGCACCGTCGGCGCGCTCGTCACAGGGGCTGCCTGGGCCGGAGGTGAAATAAATAAATAAATAAAACGGACACACCTCTACTAGGAGATGGGTAAAAAGGAACAGGTCCCCGCCCTGCGGTCTTTGTGCAGGGTTCTTTGTGGGTGTGGTCGGCGACTAGCCGGGGTCGTCCTCCCGATGGGGGACTAGCACTAGCCGTCTTCCACATGGTCCCTCGGGTCCCTGCTGCTCCTAATCTCGTCGTACATCCTCCTGCTGATCTCCGCAACATCCTGCTCCCTCCCTCGTCTCGTCCTGCGCGTCTGCTCCGCCTCCCCGTCGTCCGCCCTGCGTCGTCTGGTGACGGGTCCTCCATAGTCGGTTGAGGTCGCCGCCCTCCTCGTGCCTCTTCCCAACGTTTCCTCGGCAGCCGATGCCGTCTGCTCCGACTCCGCCGTCCCCGGGTCTGCCCTGCCCTCGTCTGCGCTAGCTTCTGTTTCGTCATCACTGACCGGATGCTTCGAAGCGACCAAGTCCTCGCTCAACGACACCGCGGTAGCCGCTCCGGTTCCTGCTGTTGTCGGCCAAGTGCAGCCGCAACCCCTGCGCCTCCTCTAGCACGGGCGCCCTAGCTACTATTGTGGGCGCCGGCCTCGCTGCGCCTGGCGCCGCCGCCACCGCCACCGCCTGGTCCCGAACCTGGGCCCCCGCATGCTCGCGCGTAGGCATCGCCGCCTCCACGCACCGCGGTGCCGAAAATTCCGTCCACCTTGCGCTGCTCCTTCAAGCGGCCGGGGGGGTTCTTGTGGCGGGGCTTTTGCCTACTGCTCGCAGGGCTGTGCTGCTGCGGCCAGGCGTTGGAGGCCGAGGAGATGCGGTTGATGCGGCTGAGGGAGGGGGCGGGCCTGCTCCGCAGGACGCCTGCCACGGCCACGCCCCTCGGGGCGAAGAAGACGGGCAAGCGTGCAGCGGAGGCGGCGCGTAGGGCGATTGCGCTTGAGAGGGAGGTGTGGGTTGACGGGGAGTGCCGGGGTGGGCGTCGTAAGGGTGAGGGCGATTGCCGCCCTCCCCCCTTCGCCCACCTCGACGCCTTCGTGTAGGCGCCCCCGCGACTGTGCCTCTTTTTGGTACTGTGGCGTACCTGTGTCGCGAGCCTGTGTGCTGTGAGAGAGAGTTGTTTTCGTTGAATTCTTTCTTGCCGGACTGGCACACTCACCGGCTCACTGCTGTGAGAGAGGCTTGTGTATCTTAAGAATTCTTTCTTGCACGGAGCTAAGTGCCTCGCCGCCCTCGCGGCGGGAGTCGCTTAGTCGGCTCCCGTGGTGTACCTGTGCTATAGTGCCAGTGCGCGCCAGTCCCGTGCCCAAAGCCCAACATGTCGTGCGAGGGAGTCGTAAACATTCTTTCCGGAGCAGGCGCACATCGCTTCCAGGGAGGGGGGCGCCCCACGCCCCCCCCCCCCAGCATGTGATGAAGCCTCTGGGGGGGGGTCGGACCCCCCCCCTAGCATGTGGTGGGCACCCCCCAGCAGTTCGTGGGGTAGGAATAGCCGCCAAAGAGCCGATTTTGCCCCCAAAGTGTGAAATCGTGGCTGAAAAGTCCAATATCTTGGAGAATCTGACCAGTCTCAAGGCTCATGTAGCTCCACAGGATGATTTTCTTCGAAAAAGGCTGCGAGATGAGGTGCAAAATCAAGGGCCCGGAGGGTCTGACCACGAGTCTCTGGGGGGGGTCCTCGGCCATGACCCTCCCCCCCCCAGCATGTGGTGAAGGCGCTGGGGGGGGTCGGGACCCCCCCCTACGTCTGGGGGGGCGACCCCCCCATCTTTGTTTACCGATGCGTCCTAGAATGCAAAAACGCATTCTAGGACGCACTTTTCATCTCAAAGATACCATGTGTCTCGGGTACACAGGGCATTCTAGGATGCGATGGCTGTCCTGGAGATAGCCGCGCCGTGTCTTTTGTTACGCGTTCCATCTTAGACGCCACAAGCATCTATAGATGCACAGCTGTTCTGAGATGGCACTTGCATACTAGATCACATTTTACTATACTTGGACAGGGAAGCGTCTCAGGAGACACCGTGTGTCGGGTGCACCGGGCACCGAGGGGGGAGCAGGGAGCCAGGGAGCACGAAAAGGCGGTGTGATCTCTCGGCACCCCCTGGGGGCCCTGCCTTGAGTGCTCGTGTGAGGTCTCTCCTCGCGGCCTGCCCCTCCTGGAGAACCAGGTTCTCAGCACCGCGCATGCATCTGCTCGCGCCACGAGCTCTGGGCGCAAAGACCAAAGTTGCATGCACTGCTTACGACGATCCGACGGCGACGCCGCCTCCCCCCCCCACCAACCAGTTTGCGCGGCAGGTAGCGGGGCCAGTTCGAGGCTGAGGGCGTGGGCGTGCGCCTAGACACGGAAGACAGCGAGAGTCGGCCAGCCGCGCGGTTTTTCTTGTTTGACTTGGCGATTTGAGGGACCGGGCATCCCGACTCGCTCCTCGCTCCTCGCTCGGTGAGCTGTCGCCCACCAGCGCGCGGCGACCGCGCGCACACCGTGCCCGCCGGCTCGCCGCCCTCCTCACCACCCGTCGGCGCTGTCCGCAGGCATGTGAGTCAGAACGGCGACCGCGCAGCGCGCACGGGTGTCTTGCTCGCCACCACCCTCTCGCCCCCGCTCCGTGACCGCCGCCGCCCGCGCCACCGCCGCCGCCAACACCGCCTCGCGCCTCGCGCCTCGCTCTCGCCGCCCCCGCCGCCCGCCCTCGACCTCGCGACGGCGTCCTTCTGGGGATCTGCGGGTGGCTTGCCCGCCTCGCCGCCGCCCCCACAGCGTGACCGCTTCCGCCGCCCCCACAGCGTGACCGCTTCCGCTCGATCGGTGAGCCGTCGCCCACCACGCGCGCTCTCACGGCGACCGCGGGCCGCTCATCGCCTCCGCCACGTCGCAGGTGTTTGATCTGGGCAGGAAGCGGCGCTGGTGACGGCAACCGGCAGCCACGTGCACGGAGTGCTAAGCGAGGTGCCTGTGTCCAAGTCTGAGTAGCCCGTGGCCGTGAGTGGCGTCAGGGGCAGTGTTCTGTGACTGTGTCCTGTGCGTGCTGTTCAGTGTGAGTCGGTGCAGCGGTGGGCCTGCTGCCGCTGCCACACGTGAGAGCCGCTGTCCGTGCCCCAGCACGTTGCGCGGAGAGGCTATAGGGCGCCCACCCACGAGTGCTCGGGTGGGCGCGCCGCGGCTGTGCGAGTAGTAGCGCAGCAGCCGCGGCGCACAGCCGGGGGCACGGCCCGCCGCGCAGCGCTCGCCACACCGATTTTTCGTTTTCTTTTTTGTTTTTATACGTGCGTGTATTTCTTGAGATCCACACGCTGTTCAAAATATGCGCGCGTCTTCTGAGACACGCGCTGTTCACAGTATGCACGGCGCGTCTTTTGAGACAGCAACGCCAATCGGAGATGCCGCGAGCAATTCGGGATGCGCGGAGCAACTAATATAGACTCGCGCATCTTAGGATGCTCGAGCATACCGAGGACAGCGAGCGTCTAAGTAGGAGGCCTACTAGACGCACTCTAATCCAGAGACGCATTCGGTAAACAAAGATGGGGGGGTCGCCCCCCCAGACGCGCTAGCATGTGGTGAAGGTGCTGGGGGGGGTCGGCCCCCTAGCATGTGGTGTGAGTAGAAGGGCGCCCCCCTCCCTGGAAGCGATGTGCGCCTGCTCCCGTAGCCGTTTCGCTACGGGTCTACTTTCCGTTCAGTTCACCATAGCGCTTAGCCCGCGCTTACGCGTTTTACGGCTTTCTAGCCTTTACACGGCTTTAGCGGGTGCTCGGTCGCTCAAGGAGCGCACTCATTTTCATTAGGGGCCCCCGCCTCCCCCCAGAGTCCTGACCAGCCCAGGCCCAGCCTCTCCTCTAACTATTGCCATATATACTGATATTGATCGCATCTCTAACTATTGGAGCAATATATTGTGGCGCAGTGCCGCGCGTTGTGGCTGGATGGAGCACGCCCCCCCACGGCCCCGCTTGTTGCCCAAGCGACTACCCGGTAGCAAGCGAATAGATATCATCAAATCAACACAGGGATCACACGTTCTCTCCCGATGGTGAACAAACCAGATAGTGAACCAGAGCGGCCGCGCCAGGCAACAGGGCGAGGGGGGCTAATCGTGAACACAGGAGAGGCAGGGCTCACATGAGGGCTCACCGCACACATTGGGCGCGGATGCGAACGCTGACGCGCTCAGCCCCAGAGGTAGAGCGAGGGAGTTGGCTCTCTTGGAGAGCAGGGGAGGCTAGGCAGACTCGGCGGCGGATCCGGTCTTGGTGGTCCCGGGCTTGATGCCGCTTCCATTCTCCCCGGCCTTCTTGAAGCAGAAGAGGAACGCGCACGCCAGCAGGAGGAGAAGGCCCGCAAAAACGGCGGCGGCAATGCCGACGATGCAGCCGATGCCGCAGCTGCCGCCATCGACGACGGCGGCGACCGGCGGCGACGGCGGCGCAGATGGCTGAGGGCTAGGCGGCGAAGGTGGCGGCGGCAACGCCATGCAAACTCCTTCGGCAGTGCTCCACGCACACTCGCCGTTGCACCAAGCTGAGCCCGCCCACCCTGTTTGCACCGTCTCGTCGGGCCACCACGGACAATTCTCGCAGACGGAGGCAAAATGGCCACCGCACGACACACGTGGCGGCGGCGGAGGCGACGGAGGGGCGGGCGGCACCCCTGGCGGGGCGGGTGGAGTGGGGGGCGACGGCGGCGGCGTGGGTGGTGCCGGGGGCAGCGGCGGATGTGGCGGCGATAGCGGCGATGGCGGCGGAGCCGGCGGCGGCAAAGGACAATACTGCATATTACTTTGGAACGACTCGTAGAGCCCCTCTGCTTCCGCTTGCCACGCACAGGTTCCCGTTTTATCGAGATCGTCTTGCGCCGCCCCCCAGGCGGCGCTGTCCATCACCCCAAGCCGAAAGGCAAAGTGTTCCGCGGCCCACGCGACGTCGCGCAAGGAATCATGGAGAGTCTGGTTGACGGAAGCGCAGTTTGCGAATGCGGCCGCACGCCTGGTCCAGTCGGCCTTCGCTACAGCACCAGTAAGCGCGTCCGACAACTCCACCGTTAGCACAGGCAGTTCGAGCAATCTTCTCTCGCCGGCCTCCTTGCTCGCGAGAATCTCCCTCACCTCCGCCACGTCTGCGTGCCGATACACGGAGAACTTCCGCGCCCAAGCACCAACGGCAGAGGTGTTGGTCCACGAGCGGTTGTAATCGAGGACGAACTGGCCAATCGTTGTTTTCGGATCGAAGGGGGTGATCTCAGGGAGAAGCCGGGCTGCATCGTAAGGGCTTCCATCGCCTTGTCAAACCAGACGTCCTCCGTGATGTTTTCGAGCTTGGAGGAGAGGGAAGCAAGGCCATCTGGTGTTGCTCCGTGGTAGCTATGAATTGCCAGTGCCCTGGCCCCAGACGTGATTTCTGATATAAAGTACCCACCGAAAAGCTCTTTAAGGCCCTCGCCCTGCGAATGCGCACCCCCCCCTAGCTAGGGGTCAGAGAGAGAGAATTCTTGATACGAAACCACGACGACACACACCAGTCGACTCGCATCGGTTGCCTCCATGAACGGCGGAGCTATTCTCGCGCCCACACCACACCTGGCTCCAACGTGGACACGCCCATAGCTGGGGACACTACTAGGTCACGCATGGCATCACAGAAGTTTTATCTCTGGGCCCCGAAAGGCATCTCTAGCAGTGTCGTTACACATGCCCCCTCCCCTCCTGGGCGCATGCGCCTCACGTCTCGCCAGAGCATAAGCCCTCGAGGCCCGCGCTGAGCAAGACTACGCGAAGCTCGACAAGCGCATCAAGGACCTCGCGGCTCGCGTGGACCACCTCGAGCTCAATGTCGACGAGCCCGTGGCAGACCGCACCCGCGGCCGCAAGCATGTCAAGCAGGACCGCGTTACCCCGCGAGTTCTTAGCTCGGCACCAGCCACGTGGCCCCTCTGGTGAGTACACACTGGACGCGTCCGGACGCGTCCCGGACACCCCCCGCCTAGTAGTCGTCCCAATTCACAAAGCTATAGATCATGTCCTCTGTCCAAGTCTCGAGTGCGTGTAATACTCGAAAGAAGAGATCCTTTGGCATCCCGCCCTTCATTTGTCTATCATACACAGTCAGCATCAGGGTTATGGCTGTCATCAGAACATACGTACGTCCCTTTCTCATCTGTGAATAAGCGAGATAAGTTTAGGGTTACAGTGTCGGAGCTATCAGGATGGGGGCTCGGAATAGGGTTACACGGGGTCACGACACTGGATGCGTCCGGACGCGTCCCGGACACCCCCCTCCCCGAGACGTGTCCAGGACAGGACCGTGCCCGGGCCTGACCTGTCCGGTCGTACCCATATACACCAAAAGGAGGGCTACACGAGGCCCTCTACGCTCGGCGGTCTCAGGCCCAGTGAGGTAGTGCGCCTGACCCTCCCGGATCCTGCTGAACAAGCTCCTCTTGTAGCTCGATCGGTCACACCGCCATCACCGTCGGGGAGAGGGGGGACGACGCTGCTCTGGCAGCGTGCACCTCGATCCTGCACCGTGTTTGTTATGACCCCCCCCCCATGAGCACACCAGTGAGGGAGGGCGAGACGATCGAGGGGTCCCGTACCATGCGGAATCGACCCTATCCAGTGCTCAAGTGCTCAAGCGGGGACTATCTATCGCTACGCCAGGGAAGACAAGGACGTTGACGTGCAGCTGCTGCTGTTCGAGTCGTTCGGCGGGTTCGGGAGGGGGGTCCGTGAGATCCTCCGCCCTCCGCGCTCCGGAAAGCGGCGGACGTGCTACAGAACAAGCTGACTTTGGCCCAGTACCTCGATGAGGTGACTTGGACCACTAAGAATTGGCTGGGGCTGCAGAAGCAGCGTATCTCGGTCGTTCTTCACACGGCAATCGCAGAGCAGGTTGTGAATGAGCTTGCCTGTGGCGGGGGCGGGCGGGTGCACGGAGCTAAGTGCCTCGCCGCCCTCGCAGGAGTCGGCTTAGGCGGCTCCCGTGGTGTGCCTGTGTTAGTGCCAGTGCGCGCCAGTCCCGTGCCCAGTGTCGTGCGAGTGATGTTGGTAAAATTCTTTTTGTAGCCCCGAGCGCGGTATGGGTGGACGCGGGACAGATGATGACGACACGCACGAGCGACACACAGACACAAACAGGCTCACAAGACACACAGCCAGCTGGCTGCCACACACCCTGAGCTGAGGGAGGGTGTAGAGGATGTAGAGTGTAGAGCGCTGTAGAGCTGTAGAGCTGGAGAGTGCTGTAGAGCTGTAGAGCTCTACATCCACCGCGTGACGAGGCGGGTGCGTTGTAGAGCGATGTAGAGGCGCTCTACAACGTGA